TTCCGTGCGCGTGGAGGAAGAGCCGGCTGAGCAGCGAGGAGATCGCGGAGCGGGAGAAGACGCTTGAACTGTACATGGCCCAGCGTGCGCCCTCGCGGCGTCTGAAGATCGGGTTTGCGCTTGTCATTGGTATGCTGATCTTTTCCACAGTCCAGTCGATTGCGACGGCGTACGTGAAGACGTCCCACGCGGGGTACTTGGCGATCTCGATCGTGGCGCTGCTGCTGATGGCGTCGTTCACCGCGATGGCGATGCCGTTCCGGTTTCTGGGCCGCTACACCCCCGTGCGTGCAACGCATATGGAGGGCATCGGAGAGGCGGCCACGGAGCCGCTGCCGCAGCGGTTAGGCGAAGACGCATCAGCGGGGCCTGAGGCGGAAGGCAATGGTCACCCACCAAAGCAACCGCCGATTCCGGCGCCGCAGTATCAGGGCTCCTTCTGGGCCCATCTGCTCTCCATTGACCTGTGGGCAATGTGGCTCGCGTGCTTTGGCATGTGGGGCACCGGCACGGTGATGCAGATGAACGCCGCCCAGATTTACCGCAGCAAGAACAACGGCGGGTTTGACACCCGAACTCTGACGCTGTACGTCGCCATCATGTCTGTGGGCAGCGCTGTTGGACGCATTTCCACGGGATGCCTCGATATGAAGCTGGCTGCGTGGAACCGTGCAGGCAAGTCACAAATGCTGACGACTATTGCGCTTCCCATTGGTCCCCTGCTGATGGTGTTGGCGTACCTCTTCTTTGCCGTCCTGCCGTCTGGCGCGCTAATACTGCCGTTTTTGCTTGGAGCTATCGGAAACGGCGTTGGCTGGGGTGTGGGCGCTCTTGCGATGCGGATGATGTACGCCGAGGACATTGGGAAGCACTACAATTTTTGTTTTTCTTCCGGGGCTGTTTCGACAGTTGTGCTGAACCGCTTCATGTTCGGGGAGATGTACGATGCGGAGGGGCGCAAGCGTGGCGAGTTCCCATCATGCAACGCCCCCTCGTGTGTGCAGAAGCAAATGTTTATCCTGATAGCCGTTAATGTGGTCGCCACGTTCGCCGCCGTGGCGGTGCACTGGCGATTTTCGCGCTTCACCCAGTCGAAGCTGGAGGAACAGCGGGCGGCAGCGGAGGCAGAAGCAAATGGCGGAGAAGTGGGGGAGGAGCTTCTGGAGGAACCGTCGAAGTAAGAATAGTGGACATGCTTTTGGGATCTTAATTTTTTTTTTCGTTTTGCTTCGCTTTTGTTGAGTGTGTGTGTGTGGGTTGCTTGGGATTGTGCTGTGGCGAGCAGCGGCGTTCGGGCGCGTGGAAGGTGTACCCCATCGCTGTCGTCCTGCGCGCGGCCGAGGCACGCGGGGCGGGGCGCTGCGGCATGCAGGCCAGCGGGGGAGGCGCAAGGCTGCGCGCGCGCACACACACACACACACACACACACACGGTGCCGTACAGCGCACATGGACGCTGACACGCACACGCACGCTCGCTCATGGAGGGCGAACGTGAGCCGCAGGGAAATGGGCCCAGCTGAGACCAATACCCATACGCACGAGACACGCTACGTAAGGGAAAAAGAGGAAGAGGCAATTGCATTTCATGCTATAAGGTTCCCAAGTAGCCACAAATACTTGGCCCTGCGTTTCTCCACGTAAGAATTGCAGGTGACTTTTTTTTATGAGAAGTGAAAAAAAATGAAGCAAAGAGTAAAAGCAAAGAACGAATTCTTGTAATGAACGCCGGAATCATCCGTGGTTTTGTCGATATGGGCCGGTGTTACTATTATTATTGTTTTTTGAGTCGTCATTTCCATACTTCTCATTCTTTACGCCGGTCCCGCCTTGCTTCTGCCGTTATATTCCTTTCCTGGAGCTTTTTTTTCCCCTTTCGGCCGTGACCTTTTTGCATCTGCGCGTGTGGCTCCGCCGTATTGCTGAGGGGATCGCGTCGGTGGCACTTTCGCTACGTTGTGGGAATAGTGGCTGTTGAATCCGGGCGCTCTTGCCGGGCCCGCTTCCTCCGCGGGGATGTGGTCTAGGAGGAGGAACTGCGATAGGTGGGTTGTGAAACGCCCCCAGTGGGGCGGGGCCGGCGGCTGGCCGAAGGGAACCCCGGGCGGCAAGGGCCGGGGAGGATGGGAGGCGCCCCGGCTTCTACCCGCCCAGGCGACTGCGAAGCCACGGCGCGGCTGGGCGCGTTGCCCCGCCCTTGCGGGGGAGTCTGCCAACATGGACTGCGAGGGCGCGCCCCGTGGCAAAGGGTGGAGGGTGGGGGGGGTGCGGACACCGGACCTCACGCCCAGGGATCTTTGACATTGGCTTCTCGGTGTTTTCTTCGCAGTTCTCGCAGCTTCGTTTTTGTGCGTCGCTGCCGTTGCACATGTGGCTTGGCAATCCCGGACGCGGTTTGTGCCGTGTGCCGCTTGCCTCGCAGTGTAAAGGATGGGTGTCTTTGCTGGGAATGGGTTTGCGTGTAGCGTGGGGTCGTGTGCCGCTGTCATGTGTTTTCCCTGCAGTTTTCTTGGGGATTGGTGCAAAGCGCAATACGAGGGAAAGACGAGATGAACTGATGGGCACCTCAACGCATTTTCGTTTGTTCCTCTTGGAACACTTGCTCGGGCCATGTGGTGAGGAGAGCGACCAAACGTTGACACATAAACATGTTTTTTTTTTCCTTTGGCGGATGCAAAGAGGAGTACGCGCAGGAAGGAGAGTAACGGTAACGTGGGAGGGGGACAGAAACAGAGGTGTTCTGCCCCATTCCACGAAGGCCTGCGTGTATGCAAGACTATAACTCCTGTGCGTGCATGCATGCGCCCAGCTATGCATGGATGCGTGCGCCCTATTTATCTTTGCAGCTGTGCGGCCTGCATGTGCTTCCTCCTCCATTTGCTCCGGTTGCTTTGGTCTGGTTGCGCCGGAGCGCCTGCGTTAGTGGCCGCACCACCGGCGGATTGCGCGTCTGGCCGGAGGACAGCCAGTGGCAACACCAACCAAGGTTTGACGGCGGGCGAAGGGAGAGGCGCTTTGCGTGACCTCCAGAGGGGGCGGTGAGCGAAGGACATGAGGTGAGGCCAGTGGTTGAACGAGGAGCACGTTTGTCCCTGCCCTCTTTTGCTTGGGTGCTTTCTTGCGCCCTGCTTCTCATCCAATGGCAGCCCCGTCGCAAGGGAGTGTCTCGGCGACGGTTGTGGGTCCCATTCCTGCGGGTCCGTGCATCACATGTGCCGGCGACGGCCAGCTCCACGCGCCATTGCTTTGGCGGCCTCAGCGACGAGCCGAAGAACGGTCATCGGTTTGTGGTCACCACGGCTCGCCGTCGTTGCCCCAGCCGGCATTAGTGACGGGGGCGTTTTTCTCTCCTCCAGGCATCACCTTCGACGGGTTTGCTGCGGTGGGGCCTTCCTGCACCCTCGCCGCAGCTGCTTTCCGGCTCGCTGGGGCCGAGCTTCGCTAATCGCATGAAGGCATCGGCGGCAGCGTTTTTTCTGTGACTTTTCGGGGTCCTTCTGCCCGGGGTCTCCCTTTGTGGTTCCGGGAGCTTAGTTGCCACTGCTCGTGGGCTCCCTCCGCGATTGAGGCGCGGCGGCGGCGCTGTCGAGGACGCTCGAGGGGCTGGGACCATCCACCAGGGCCAGTTGTCTTGTCAGCCTCTTCGCTAGCAACTGCGGCGCGTGGTTGCTCTTCGTGGACGGCACCGTTTTTGCCTTTGCTATGGCGGGCGCCGACGGGGGGCCTCACGGGAAGTCGACGCAACACAGAGAAGCTCCACGGCGCCGCTTTGCGGCCGAGCGCATGCTTCTCCACGTGCCGAAGGAATTCATCTGCGTGCGTAGGGGCTGTGCCCCCGCTTCTTTTTTGAACCTCCCACTCACTTTTTCCCCCGCCCTCACTTTTTTCACTGGTTTCGCTGTTTGCCCCGCCTGAGGGTGCTGGCGCGGGTGCGAGGACTTCTGTGGGGGGGAGGGGGGTGGGACTTTTTTGCCCCCGCCGCCGCCGCCACTGCCTTCAGTGCCACGGCTGCGCCGCGCTTCGGGCGGGGACTCCACTGGAGGGAATGGTATTAAAAAAAATAACGGCGTCCCATAAAGGCCTAAAGTGGCGCCAATTAAAAAAAACAGAACTAATAACTGCGCCCGCCCCGTGTTTTTTGGTAGTTGTGCCAGTAGAGCGGACTACTTCTACTGAGCCCGCCTTGAGGACTGCAGCTGTG